TTATTTATCTTCTATAATTGAAACTTTGTAGCCTGGAGCGGAGCTCAGGGCTGGCAAGGCAGGCCGGAAGCTTGGCTGGGAAGCCTCCAAGCCTCCTGCTTTCTCCAGCTCTGTGGCCGCCGCCATCTTAGTTGGGTTAATTTACATATTTGTTCCTGATTGGCTGGTGGGTGTGGCAGAGGTATGGTCAATTTGCATATTTCTCTTTTATTAGATTAGATCCTTTTCAATGGAAAAATCATTCTTAGGTCTTAGGCCAGTGATGGCGAACCTATGACACGCGTGTCAGAGGTGACACGCGAACTCATTTTATTGGTTGATTTTTCTTTGTTAAATGGCATTTAAATATATAAAATAAATATCAAAAATATAAGTCTTTGTTTTACTGTGGTTGCAAAGATCAAAAAATTTCTATATGTGACACGGCACCAGAGTTAAGTTAGAGTTTTTCAAAATGCTGACTCGCCGAACTCAAAAGGTTCGCCAACACTGTCTTAGGCTGTACCAAAAACAAACTAACTGGTCCAATTTGGCACATGGGCCATCTATTACCTATACCTGACATAAACTTATTGAAGCACATAGGTTTAGACTCTCCCCTCTACCTGAGCCAATACCTCTCTTTATATGTCTTAAGATAATTTGGTTTCCAGAAATGATCTATAGGTTTTTACCTAACTCTTGCTGAAAATGTAATGCCTTTGTAAACATGAAGGTACTAAGTCTGAGGTATAAGGCAAAAGTTATAAAATGAGATATATAGAGGTTTGAGCATTATGAAACCAAATATCATTCTGGAATTTTCTCTCCATGATGACTTAAATCAACATGTAAAATCCTGGTTTCCAAGAAGCCTCTATAATAGATATACACAGTTTCAACTTCAATCAGAGAACCTCTGTTTTACAGTGCTTTTCTCACCTATACTTTGCTCCCTTTGAGTTGGAGTTTATAGGTATATATATTTTCCAGTTCCTTGATAGGACTAGAGCAACCGTGGGCAAACTACGGCCCACGGGCCGGATCTGGCCCGTTTGAAATGAATAAAATTGAAAAAAAAAAAAAAGACTGTACCCTTTTATGTAATGATGTTTACTTTGAATTTATATTAGTTCACACAAATACTCCATCCATGCTTTTTTTCTGGCCCTCTGGTCCAGTTTAAGAACCCATTGTGGCCCTCGAGTCAAAAAGTTTGCCCACCCCTGTTCTAGAGTGTCTTTGCTCTCACTAAAGCAGTGGTAATAAAGTAGAAAATATGATCGAGTAGCTTAAAATGATAATATGTGTTTCTCAGCATTTAAGTTAAAGATGACTGGGGATTTGGAGAAGCAGTTAATTCAGTGTCAGTGATGATCTGTATGAGAGGGTTATATGTATTAATGAGAAACTCTGAGAATAGATGAGTTGCATAGACATTTTTCTTTATAAGAAAATTATCCTATTTTACATGTATAAGTGAACATTTGTGTGGGAAGAATTTTATTTATTTATTGAAATTAATAATTTATTTTTTATTATTATTGAATTTATTGGGGTAACATTGGTTAATAAAGTTGTATTGGTTTCAGGTTTGCAATTCTATGATATTGTGTGTTCATCACCCCAAGTCAAGTATTCTTCTGTCATTGTTTATCCCCCTTTTACCCTCTTCAAACTCCCCAACCCCTCTTTTTCTCTGGTAATCACTATACTGTTGTCTGTGTCTAAGAATTTTCCTCCCAAAAGGGACAGACCCAAAGACTGAGAAACAGCGATCAGGTTATCAATCCCCAGAAGGGAAGTAGGGGAGGGAGAGGGTAAGGGGAAGAGATCAACCGAAGGACTTGTATACATGTATAGAAGCCAAACCAATGAACCAATGGACATGGACAACAGGGGGATGGGAGCATGAGTGTG